TGTAAAAAGCTGCAATGCCATAGAAGACAGACTTCTAATCCAATATTATGCATATTTCCAAGTTTAATTAAAAAGTTAGGTCAGTGTTGTTTTTTTCCCCTCGGAGTCAGTGTTTCTCTAACTCACTAATAAATCTGGCAGAGTTTTATGCTAAACTGACCAACTTTAATTTAACAGCTTTCAGTAAAGAAAGCTCTGTACTTTTTTTGTGATTCTCTCTAAACACGCAAAGCCTCTGAATTTATGCAGTCTGTGCAGAACAACAGCTTGGGGTTGAACCAAAGCCAGAGCTCAGCTATTTTAACACATCATAATTAACCCCAATCATCGGAGGCTGATAGAGTAGAAGCTGGTAATTAAAACAGCTCCAACAGATGATGTTTGCATGCTGCCATACATTCTGTAGCCACTCAACTTTAGAAAGATGGAAGCAACTAATCCTTACAGCATAAGTTATTTTGAATAAAGTTTTTCCACTACAAGCCCATAAAATTAACCTCTGCAGACTGACATTTTAAAACTTTAACCTCATTTATGTTATTTCCTACTCTCTTTTTCTGTACCTGCCTTTTCAAATGTCTGTTTCTTTCATTAGGATAAAACAGAACAAAGTCTCAGATTATTTTTTCTGAGAACATTATGTAATTAAATTGAATTCAGATTCTTTATATATTGTCAATTCACTACACATATCCTCTCAAGGCACTTTACAGAGGTAATTCAACCAGATCATACAGTCAAATTGATTCAAAGTTTTCTATCTAAGGAAAACCCGTAGATCGCATTGCCTCAAAGGCAATCCCTCATTCCCTTTGAGTCAATGGGAAAAACTCCCTTTTAACAGGAAGAAATCTCCAGCAGTACCAGGCTCAGTTTGAGCGGCCATCTGTTAAGGCCGACTGGGGTTCAAGGAGACAGAAGTAGACTTAAAGAAAGAAGCAGAGATAAAAAAAGGCAACTGTAAACCATCTCCACAGGCGCCCCTGTTCAGGAAACACACAGCCAGGCAGACAACCTCCAAGCCAGCTCCCATGTCAGAGGATGAAAGAGAGAAACAGGACTACACTGAAAAACAGGCCAAGCTCCAAAATTTATAAACAAATGTGTTGATGGCAGCAGCACAGCTGGTGTCACAGCCAAACAGGAAAAGACCAGATGAAGCTACTATGAGTAAAAGCAGAAAGAGCATAAAGTTAGAGATTGAACAAACAAATTATGTAGAGTGGGAGAATAGAGATAGAATGTAACAGAATGATTAATAAGGGGTCCCTATGTCATCCAGCAGTGTAAGCCTATAGTAGCATAACTATAGATATAGCTCTGGATAATATTAGCCACTCTAACAATAAACTTTTTCAACAAGGAAAGTTTTAAACCTACACTTAAAAGTAGACAGATTTAACTAATAAATTACAGATCACAGCAACTTTAAAGGTTAAAACAAGGTTGGGGTAAAATAAATAATAAATCCTTATAGTTTTAACCATCTAACACAGCAGTGTTCAAGCCATCATCTCAAAATGAAATAGCGATGTTAAGATGGGAGGGAGAAAACATCAAAGTAGGATCTTTGGTTGGATGGCTCATTTTCTCACCTGCATATAAAACATTGCAAGAAAGACAAAAAAAAAAAAAACTACACATCATCTGAACATACCAGCCCTGCAGTGAAACATGGTGGTGAAGCTTTGATGCTCTGAGGAATTTTGTTTTCAGCACCTAGTCAGAGTTGAAAGGAAGATAAGTGGAGCCAAAAAGGGAAATTCTGGGAAAAACCTGTTGCAGGGTGCAACAGACTTCAAACAGGGTTGGGTTCTCATAATCTTTGAACATACAATCAATGCTTTAATGAGAGTTTTTACAATAAATCGTAATTATATGTTAAATGAGGTTTGTAGATGTGAGGTCAACATTTCCAGGAGGTATAAATACTTTTACAGAGTGTTGTCTTTTCATGAGTGACTTAGCTTTTTTCCAAAAGATCAACACCTTTTCTTCTTAGGATTTTACCCATGAGGCATTAATAAAAAGGCTCTTTTCAAGTTCATGCAGGCATGTACACAGGGAATCATCTCCCCCTGTTGACTTCCATTTCCCTCAGTTCCTGGGTAGGCTGTAATTTGCATAATTCATGAACATGTTAAAGATCTAATCAATATTCCTGATTTAGATGAAGGATGCGGCTGCTTTTTACGCTCAGTTCCAACCCCCTTCTGCCTGCCTGCCCTCCTGCCTCTAACCCTGATGAATATTCACTCTTTGCTATTATGCTAATCATAGCTGTTCAGCCTGAAGAGGAGACCTTATAATTAGTTGAAAAGGTATAACATTTTCACTTAAAAAAAAGCTATTTCAGTGTGTCATCAGGTTGGGGATTCTCCAGAATCAATTGACGTGGGATGTAAAGCTGCTCAGCTGATGCACAGATAACTGAAGTGGGTGTTAATCAGACCTGCTGATAATAACCATGTCTCGCTCTAGAAAATTACTCTTATGCAAAGTTTAGTTCAGTCTCAGTGCTAAAAGGCTCTCCTTGCAAGACACCCAGGCCTTTTGTTTCAACCGGAACAGCAGCAGATTCTCCTGCGCTTCCTTTTTCGTTTGAATGAAAAGCAATGTCAAGAGGATAAATTGAGAAACTTTGTCAGTTTTGATATTGGAGTTTTGCACACATTCACTAGAAGTTTTTTGTGTGTGTACGTGTGTTTATTGGTTAGACGCTAATCAATAAGCTCTTATCCTCCCAGGAATGCCTGGCCTACCCAAATTAATCCAAGAGCCCATCACTAGCTCATCCAGGTCTCAAAAGGACACAGTACAACATGAGGCTCTGCAAAACACACTCATCTTAGTTGAGGTCAGTGTGTCTGAATTAAAATTTTAGAAAGAGCATTCTGAGGCCAAAACTATTGCAGATGAAAATACAAATGGATAAAACAAAGAGCCTGTCACACATTTAGCAACAAAACTTTGGTGATCTCCTAGACTTTTTTTAGAACATGTCCTGTAGACTGGAAAAAGTGGAACTTTTTGAAGCTAAAGATCAAGCATTTCTCTATTGTACTGCAGGAAAAGGACAAAGTCAACCTCTGAGGAGTTTAAACCCTTTATCTTCCAAGTTACTATTTTTGGTCTTTTAGATATAAACACTGTTTGCAGTGAACACGGCAAAATCGTGAAATCAAATGTGGTCAGCCGGGTCTGCAAGGCCAACCTCTGTCTTAAACCTGAGTGCAAATGCTTTATACAATAACATCAGTAATCTAATGTTTCCTATGATACCTATATATGATACCTACTGTAAATCTAGTAAAAAGAAAAGCTTAAAAGTTTGAAATTTAATAAGCTAACTTGAAAAGCCTGATAAAAAAAGTTGATAAGCTAAGTTAAAAATGTAAAATATGGAGTTTCTGCATCAACATTAATGTTCTGAGGGTTATGGTACAAACAATTGGCCCTCTTTCTTTCTGTAGTTTTTTCCCCCACAAATGTCTTGTAGAAGCACTCTTTGTATTTTTTTTACCATATTATGGAAAGTGACTGTTTTTGGTACTCATGCTGACCTTGATTTCTGCCATATTTATTCTTTTTTAATGTTACAAAACTAATAAAGTCTCGATCTATCCTCCAATAAGACTCTTTACTTAACATTTTGAATTTCAAAGTATTTGAATCAGTGAACTATAATGGGTTAGAAAATAAGAGAGAATGTTTTTGTGAGGCCTAGTTAAAGTACAGACTTACAGTATATCTGTATTAAGATTTGTCCAGGGACAACAGATGAAAAATAGCCTTTTGGCTAATTCTGGTGCCTTTGCAGGAATACTTATTAATGTACACTGTCCCTGTCAAAAAAATAAAATAAAATAAATAAATAAAATAAGTATCTGATTCTGATACTCTTAAATAACCTTAAACATACCATTTCATGTCAAAACACCCCCAAGTTTGGCTGAATTAAGACAGTTTGATCATTTTGGTTAGAGGGAAAATTCCTTAAAGTGAACTTAAACACGGTCTTGGTTCTGTTATGTTTTCTTTAGAGTATTCAGTTTTACTTTGCTCTATTTTTTCTAGTTGTATTGGTTTAATTCCTATTTTGTTGTGTTTTCTGGTTATATTTGAGTTCTTTGGTTTTTATTTGTTGCTCTCTGTTGCCCTCTTGTGTTGGTCTCCTTTTCCCTAGCTCTTTTCTAGACTCCTCTCTTCAGACCTGCTCCCAATCTGCTCGTTAGTCCTCTCTTTGTTCAGTCTACCATAAATACTCTCCTTGTGCAGTTCCTCAGTGCTGGTTCCTCATCTTACCCTGGTTCCTCATCTTACCCTGGCTCCTCATGAATGTTTTCCCCTGATGTCTCCATGGTTCTGGTTTGTTTTACAATTTTCATGTTGGATTTTTGGATTCCTGCCTCAGTTGTTTGTGAACATTCGATTAAACCTTCAAGAAACTCACCTCTGCCTCCCTACTTCTGCATTTGGGTCCTCTAACCTCAACCAAACCCTGACACAAATCCCTGATAGCTATTCTTGGCAAAAAACAAAACAGAACCATTTATAAGATTTAGGGGATTCTGCTGTTTGATACACACTTTAAACCCAGATTTTGTATTCGAATAACATTTTTGAAAGTCATTAATAATTATTTATTTTAAATCTATAATACTAAATTATATCAGTCATTTGTCCTATTCAGATTAGAATACATATTGCAATTATGATTATAAGCAGAAAGAAATAGTAGAAAGTATAATAATGATTCCCTTTAAAACTTAAAATTGATTTGACACTTAAATAATTTATTTTCCAAATGCAAAATAAACACACAAAAAGAAAGAACTGCCCATTGCAGCTCTGCAAAATGTAATCATCAGCTGCATCGCTTTGGTTAATAGCTGCTATAAAGTAAGCATGTTTATGGAAGTTTACTGGAATTTATGACCTGTTTGGGAAGTTCACAAACACAGTGAAAAACCCTCCCTCTGGCTCCACTTGTGGAGTGGGTTTCTCATAGCTGAGTGGAGACAACATGAGAGTGGGGAAAATGCTTCTGGTTCTGCTGCAGATGTTGCTGCTTTCATGTGGGGCTCAGCCGCGATGCGACCCGCAGATAAGAGGTAAACCTTCTCATTTTTATCAGTTATTATGAATACAGTCTCTGAGCACCTAGACATGATCTGCTTCACTGTAGGTGAAACTTGTGCAAATCATTGCAGAATGATATTCAAAGATAAGCCCACTGTTTTAATTAACACGGATAAATAACTTATTTTCTCATCAATTGACTGTTAAAGATATAAGATAGATGCTATAAAGGTGCGAAATGAAAACGAATTTGTCAAAAAGAAAGGATTTTATGATCTAGTTTTATTAATTTGTAGATACAAGTCTGCCATCTAGTGGCCACTAATAAAATAATGTGTTTTGCAGGAATGTGCAAACCAGCAGTGGAAGAAAAGCGTGAGTACCCTCAATCTTGAAGGAATAAAGTTGTTATTCATGGACTGTTTGCCATCCTCTTCTCATTTAATCACAGAACATAATGTCATAGAGTGGTTTGAATTTTTAAAAACAGCTTCTCAGGATTTTGATCTGGAAACCAAAGTGTGTTGAGAGACAAGAAAACAAAATCTCTTAATTACAGTGTCAGTTCTGTGGTCATGTTTAAATCCTTTGATTTCTCAAAACAAACAGCTTTTATGCAAACTACTCGTAAATCATTCAAATCGCAGAGTGTTAATGGAATGTGGTCTAAAAACTGTGAAACGACTAAGTATTTTTAGATGATCGATGGATGCATGAAATATTTAATTTCTAATTTCCACAGATAATGGAAATATTTTGGAGCAGATGAATGAGGATGGCACACTGTGACCATCTGAGAGACATAATGGATTCCACAGAATAAAACTGACAACACTATATCTACTGAGCGCAACACAAAATGTTTGATTTGTCCAATAAAAAACAAAGTTATATCAGTTCTATGAAGCTTGCAGAGTGGTGCTTTGAATTTCTAATATGTTACTCCTGAAACATGTTTCTATGTTACATTACATTTCAGTTCACTTTAGTATGTCTGCACAATATGTATTTAGTTATTTTAACTTGACATTATTTAGTACTTCAATGCATATTCCAGGTTTACAGTGTTTACAGGATACAGTATATGTATGGAGTCACTGACAAATAAATGCAACCATTTAAAATTGAATATTAGATCATATGGTTGGAAATCCAATAATTTTGTAATTGAACATTTTAAACTGAATAGATAAGGAGGAATTGTAACTTGTTTTTTTATAATCCTTTCTTGAACACAACATACTGGAAACCAATTTAAACCAGTGAGTTGTTATTTGGATGTAATCAGCTCTCACATGTTTTAGACACAGACATACTAATGGAATTGGATGTTTTGAAAATAGAATTTAAATGAACTTGACATATTTTTTTTTACATACCTTAGCAATTGAAGTGCATAATGATCTAAAATATAATCAACAAAAGAGTTTAATCTAGTGTCAGGTATTAAGAACATATGTGACATTTGCTAAATATCTAGTTTCAAATTTATTTCCATAGTTTTTTTTTTCTTAACATTTTTTCATAGATATATTCATTTAAAACTATACTGATGTGATTTTATGTTGTCACTCCTTTCCATCTCAGCCAAATGCACAGACATCCTGCTGTCCTACTGTGAGGACATGCCCTACGCTCGCACCACGTTCCCAAACATCCTCGGACACAGCACCCGGGAGGATGCAGAATCTGGAGTTGAGTACCTCCTCATCAGCGTAGTTGAATCCCTGCTGGGCGGACAGTGCAACCCTGAGATCCGGATGCTGGGCTGCTCGGTTCTGGCCCCCCGCTGCGAAGAAAGCAAGGTGCTAAGGCCATGCCGCAGCTCCTGCGAGGTGGTTCACAAAAAATGCAGTGATGCTTTTGAGAAGATCAGAATGGCTTGGCCCTACTTCCTGGATTGTGATCGCTTCTTTGTAAGTGAGCAGGAGGGATGTTATGACCCACTGGATGGTCTCAAAGGTAATATGACGTTTTTTGTGTATTCTTACAGCCATGATTTAATCTTTCTCTTCTGTCTGACATAACTTGGAAGACATATATCCCACTGCAATTTCTTAATCTGTTCCCATTCTTTTGCGGAATTCTTCTTAGATGGGTTCTAGGTATACAAGGTCAATGTAAAAAAGGCAAATTTTCCCTTATTTTAAGATTAGAAAAATGAAAAAGGCATGAAAACAACAGCTAAAACATCTGCCTCAGTCCAACTATGAAGGATTGTATCAGTAAGATAACTCCTCTAGATGTTTTTATTATTTTAAGCTAACGATAAAGGTGATGACACATTGTACTGCTGAATAATGTGAATTATGCATGTGAGTTTTTCAACAAAGTCAGTTTTAATATCCTACCTTACATCATTTTCTTATATTCTAACTTCTCTTTGTTATGTGTTTGATAGAAGGCTATAGGGAGCTCCGTGTTTGAGTTTCGATTACCGGTAGTGTTGCCTGCTTATTTTGCCTTGTAAAAAATGTGAAAAGCCAGAAAGTTGAATAAAATGTCATTGCTGCAAGATATTATGCTGAAAAGATTTAATTTAAATTAGCTACAATCTTTTTAAGATGGTCGCTATGACGTTTCGTGAGTAAGAGTTACAGGCAGGGCTTTTCTTTCAATGCTTCAGTGCTGTTTGACGGCATCAAATACAGAAGGAAATCCCAAAGGCTGTCCATAAAATGGAACTTTATTTGTCAGGCAGGAAAAAAAAACTGAAGAAAAACTGTAAAAGTTGATAAAACATGTTTAACACATAAAGCTACAGAGCCTCTAAATGGAAACCAACCAGATGCCCAATCAATCCATCCATCTCTTCCCATATGTCCCTCAGGTCGGAGGAATATGGTGCCTATTTCCAGCAGTCTTCAAGTTAAACATGTTGTGCATCACAGACACATTTCCTGTCCATCCCAGGGCAATGCAGAGATTTACAGAATGGACATTTGAAGTCACCAATTCATCCAATCATGATTTTGAACTGTGGAAGGAAGCTTGATTACACACAGAAAACATGAAAACATGCAGAAAAAAAAAAAACACTCACACACACAATCTTTTTACTCCTAGGCAGCAGTGCTACAAACTACTGCACCAAGCAGCCCTACATATACATATTTTTTGTTAAAGTTGTGTCTGAAAAATTACAAAAATAATATATGTTCAGACTTTTATCAGAAGTCTAAATCAGAAAGAATAAGAGGAAGGCAAAAATAGTCTTAGATTCAGAACTTCTTGTTTTCTAATGTGTCATCTGTACTAGATGAGCTGCAACTTTTGCTGCAAACATGTTCAGCTTTTTTTCAAGCATGCCTTTCAAGGTTTCATTTCGTTGCTATACAATTACAAATGCAATAAAAACAAGTGGATCTCTGCCTCACAAGTGCCTTGTGAGCATGAAGCCAGTGGAGCTTCAATGTTTATCTTATTACCCGAAAAACAAAAAGGAGGCACATTATTCATCTTGAATCAAATAAAACTGTAATCTCCCTAATAAACAGAATATCTTTAGAACCTATTAACTTTTATTCTACCAGCTTTCTTGACCTAATTAACCGACATCAGAGTGATTTGTGGTCTCTGGTATATTTAAAATGCTGTATAAGTACCACAGGGCTACTTTTACTATGAGCTCTTTTATACTGTAGTCAGTTCCCAAATACTAAACTTAGTATTTGGTGAATCTGATTAACTAAAACAAGAGTTTCTCTACTTGTTTTAATAACTGAAAGAAGAATACAACTGGAGCTCACATAGCTGGGGGAGAGCATTAGTTTATATAAAGTTGTTTATTGAAGACATCTGGCTAAGACACGCATCAGCTCGGTTCAAAACACCATCCAACTGGATCGCCTTTCGTCCTTGAATAAACCTACTGGGAGAGATTTGTCTAGCAGTTTAGTCACTTAATACTTTTTCTTATGCTTCTTCTTAAACCAAAACACAGATTCCCAATGAAAGAGAAAAAGTTTAGTTAAGATAAATAACATTCTGCTGCCACATTTCGGAGTCATGTGTGATGCAGATGATTGTGTGAACTTTTGGGATGACTTCACAGACAGCAGGGAATGATTTAAAGCCTCGGTCATTTTAGAGTTAGAGAAATAAAACAATGAAATGTGGTTTTCCAAAGCAGTAAAAGAAGCAGTAAAAGACTTAAATATAATCTTTCTTTTTAATAGCTAAGCAAAGCTTCTTTTTTTCCCCCATCAAGCAGAATAAGTTTGAGTTGATTTTATCTGCTTTGTGAAAAGATACAAAGACTGATTAATAGAAAAAGAAAGCAAAATATTTTTTATTTCCAAAACTAAATATTATTACTATATGAATTAAACAAAGAGTGATTGTTCTCCATGATTAGGGTAATCCTAGAATAATTAGTAATATGTGTTTGTATTTTATTTCTCTACAACGCCTTGCAAAAGTTCTAACCATTCAACCGTACCCATTTTTACAATTTACAACTGAAAAACCACAAAGGGTCTTTTTATGCAACAGAACAAAAAAAAAGTTATATATAATTGATAAATGTGGTTTAGAAAAGTTTTTCACAGATGTTCAATTGAATTTATGTCATATATTTGACCATTCTAATACACGAATATCATATTATCTATTTATCTAGTATCATTTTTACCACAGTTGTCCTATCTTCAGCCCCACATTTATCTTCTACTATGTTCATAAGCAACTTTTTGGTCCCTGCTAAAGAAATAGATTGCCATGGGTACTTTATTGCCAAATGTAAAGTTTTTTATTTGTTGGGACAAAAAAGGGAGCTCAGTATAACAGAGAAGCAATAAATAAAAAAAATGTCCATACAGAACTAAAAATAAATAAAACTACTCTTTAACTAACCACAACTAATTGAATATTTAGGTGATAAAAAACTAAAGTAAACTTCCCCCTTCAGTTCTCAGTTCTCATTAGTAATAAGACAGAATGGGAGAAACTGACATTCTTTCTTATCCATAAAGTCAAATCCAATCACCTACATGTGTTATTTATTCTAAATGCAGAAATGCAATATATGTCTCAATTGAGGGATTGTGACAAAGCTTTCAGAACATGTGGCCACCAGTCGACTGTTTCCAACATGGTTACTCTGTCTGTATTTTAGCAGCTTTTGAGATTGTTTTTTTTTTTTTAAGCCGCTATCATCAACTGACTTAATTATGTGTTGTTGGAGACGTTGGCGATGACATAAAAGCACCAATCGCTCTGAGTTTACTGTCTTCAGCGAGTAGTAAGTGAGCAAGCCCATCCCTCCAAAACACTGACAGGCATTCAGACTCGGCAGCCAGTTTGTGTACTTTTGATTTGTGTACTTGTATAACTTTCTGTCTCTCTGATGTTGGTATTCCTCTCTCCTACGGCCAGATCAAAGCATTAAGAAATAAGCACATTAGATGATGACGTCTTCTAGGGATCTAAAGCGACTTTTAGGATTGCCAATATTGGGATTCCTTACTGAATGCTTTTTGTAATAATAATATGTCCTTTTATTCTGAAGGGTTGGGACTTGATGTGTCGTTGTGGTTTGATGTTTAAAGTCTGTTTGATCTGATTTCTGATTAAGTTATCCTGAAGCCGAGGGTGTCCAAAAAAACATTCACCATACAGGCCTTCCAAAAAATTTGGAGGAGTGGCACTGTGTGAAAATATGATGATGCATCAGCAAACTCCCTTCTCAGTGAGACAATGGATCCCACAAAGTAATGCTGAATCAGGGAAACATATGCACTAAAAAAAATGCATATGTCTTTATTAAGTCTTTTATTTTTACAAGAAATAGGGATTTTATTGGCACTTCAATGCTTCCAAATGAATTTATTTATACAAATATATTCATTAACTTTAGCTAAATTTAAAAGTCGATTTGATTTGAAATTCTAAGACAGTGTTATTCACAAGCAGTGCATGCCAGACAGATAACTTCTTTATCAGCAATCTACCATATCTGTTGTTTTTTGTGAGTCACTGTCTATAGATGATCATTTGTTTATTTCAGAAGAAGAGGGCGCTCAGACCTTAGAGGTTCCTCAGCCTGAGCAGGCTGCTGAACCGATCCAGTTCACCTACCACACCAACTCCCAGATGTTTGGAGTCTTAAAGAAGACGGAAGATCAATGCTCTGAAATTTCCAGGACGTACAGCATTGGCCGTAGCACAGAGGGCAGGGAGCTGCTGGTGATCGAGTTCTCAAACAGTCCGGGGGAACATCAGCTACGTGAGTACAGCCCTTATTCAACCAGTACTTCCTTTTATTCTTTTTTTGTTTTGTTTTTATTAAAACTTCATATTAAATGTTATCCCATGTAGTCAAGCCTGAGGTAAAGCTCATCGGTAACGTGCATGGAAATGAAGTCCTTGGTCGCCAGCTGCTTATCTACCTGGCTCAGTACATCTGCTCAGAGTATCAGCAAGGAAACGAACGCATCCAGACACTTGTCAATAACACTCGCATCCACATCCTGCCCTCCATGAATCCTGACGGATACCAGCTTGCTACATCGGAAGACGGTGACGATAACTATGAAGAGGTGACTACTCCAAAGCTATATATTTATGTTTTATATTACTTTATACCTCCCTCTAAGATGTTAGCAGGGTTTTTTTAAGTAATCAGGTCATCAGGTAGGTTCAACTTGTTATGAAAACAAATCACATATACACTGTAGACTATCTGTCCAGCATAGATAAAGACCAAAGACTTTTATTTCAGTAACCTTATCCAGGAACCAAACTCCAACATAAGGCTGGATGACAATTCAATAACAATAAATGTTGATTGATAGACATGTGGCACAATAGAAAAAAAGAGGGTTGCTGAAAGTTTGATATAGAAACACACTTTTCTTTCCTTTTCATTGTAGCCTCTCATATAGGGGCATGCTACAGTTACCACTTCCCACCAACCAATTAAAATGGCGGACCCAGGCACGCCGTCACAAAGCGCCACCCTCTCAAACTACAACACAGTGCACGTAAATATGTTGCAGCAGGAGAGGCGGAAGAAATTTTCCCAAAGAAAGGTTTGAGTCAGTGGCAGCTGGTGGAGTTTTCTCCGGGGGAGGGATATAAATTCAAAATAGACGTATACCAAAAACCAATTAAACGTATACTAAGTTATCAAACCAGTATATTTATATGAATGCCAACAACAAAAAACATTATAAAAATGGTCCAATATTGTTTCACAAACCTAAAAAAATGATGTACCTGTTTAATAATGGGGAAGCTATTAGTCAATAGTCTAAAAAGACGAAGTAAACACTACTGGAACAAATGCTTGATATATATTGGTTTATTTTGATGTAAACATATAATTTTTGGTGTGTTAATATTTTGGTACTGGTACCTGTAAAGTAACATTTTGCAGAAATCCTCAGATGCTTACAAAAACGTTTTTTGCTTTCAGACTGTGATAGCTGTAAAAAAAGAATAAAAAAAACAAAAAAAAACAATGTTATCTTCAACAGATGAATCTGAAAGTGTCTCTCTCTCTCTCTCTCTCTCTCTCTGTTCTCTCTGTTTGTTTAGAATTATAAAACCATTTATTTTTCAAAATCAACAGGGTGACATGTATGGCTCTAGAAACATCGGCCGAAACAATGCCCAGAACATTGATCTGAACAGAAACTTTCCTGACCTGACGACCATTGTTTATGGAAGGCGCAGACGGAAAGGCTTTCACACCAATCACATTCCAATCCCAAATAATTACTGGTTTGGTAAGGTACAGAATGACTCTTCATAGTGTAAAAGACCAAAAATATAATGCAAAATATGTCTGCTGTTCTGAAACAAATGAACTGATTTGATTGAGTATTTCATTCAGGTTGCACCAGAAACGTATGCAGTTATGAAGTGGATCCGCTCCATTCCGTTTGTGCTCTCTGCTAGTTTCCATGGGGGAGACTTGGTGGTCTCTTATCCTTATGATCTGTCCAAACACCCGCGTGGAGAGAGCATGTTCTCCCCAACACCAGATGAAAAGGTAAACCAGTTGTGTGAAACATGGAGTTCAAGAGAAAAACATTCAGGGGTTTAAAAAAAAGGGTCAAATTTACAAGAGATAAAAAACAGTAAAAATACATATAAAATATACAGTGCAGTAAGGTACGCTACTGTTTTGTTTTTAATTAAGCTGGGTTGATCAAACTTTGATATCAAACATGAATAAATGCAAGCATTAGTTTTCGACGGACGTTTTTTAATAACTAAGATGAATTAGTTATTACTCCATGCCCACCTGTGTCAAATGCCGCCTCCTACTAAATAAAATAATACCTGGTTGTTTGACCACTGGTATCACTAAACTACCATCAGGTGTTTATGTTACCTAGTAATGAATCTTTTACATCCTTGAGCAGGAACTGTGGTCCATTCTGCTTTTTAAAAATTTTCTATTTTGGCCACATTGTAGGGTTTTTAGGCAGACAGCCTGTGTCAGATGAAGTAAAGAGTCCCCAGAACATAACAGAGCCTTCTCCATGTTTCGCAGTTGAGATCGTGTTCTTCTCTTCGCACAGGAACATAGAGCTGATGTGCTTGGGTAAAACGTTTAATTTTGGTCTTATCTGTCCATAGGACATTTTCCCAGAAAATGTTGTAGCTTATCCACATGTAGATTGACTAGTTCCAGTCCGGATTTTTTTAGAACTTGTTTCCAACAACTGTCCTCCTTGGTTATCTCCCTTTAAGTCCACTAAGGCTCAAATAATGACAAATGATGCAATCTGACAATGATGTTCCTGAGCTTGAAGTTCACTACCTTAGTAGTTTTTCTTGGCTCTTTTGTTACCATCGTATTATTCGTCTCTTTGATTTGTCATCAATTTTCCTCCTGTGCCCAGTTCCAGGGAGGTTGGCTACAGTCTCATGGATCTTAAATTTCTGACTAACTTGTGCAACTGTAGTTACAGGAAGATCAAGCTGCATGGAGATTTTGTTATAGCCTATACCAGGGGTAACCAATTAAAAATCAGTGGGGTCCAAATAAAAAAAATCAATAACCAGTAAACAGAATTTAACACTGACATAAAATTAGGTTTTCATGCATCCATGTTATGCATTGAATTTTTTAAATAAAAAAAATATTTAAAAAAAGAGAAAAATGTTCCCCTTTTAAAATTTAAAGTGTTTTTTGAAGTAGAGAACAACAATCGTTCAGTTTGGTATCTAGAAAATTTCCTGATTCACATATTATATAAAACAACTAAACTGACTGTTTGTTGTTTCTTTCTTTTTTATAGCTTAATGAGAGCACTTAGCTTTAGGCTTTTTTAAATAACTTACATTAGTAGCTCCAAACCTGTTGTATATAGAACATCTTTGTTTCAAACTACTACTCATGTAAATTCCTAATTTTATTTGGTCAGACCAAAACTGTTTAAATGTCCTTTTCCTTCAATTACAAACACACCAACTTCTTTAATGTGTTTTTTTTTCCTTTTTTCTTTTTGCCCATGAAATGTCGTGCTCCTTTGTTTTATTCATTGAAGATCAAGTTCTTAATGTAGAAGTGTCATCAAACTTTTTAATTTCCTTCATTGCTAAACAAAAGCTTTTAAATATTACACAAAATACAGCTGGATTATGAGATCTTTGCTTTTATATTGTACAAACTTAATTTCATAAAAATCTCCTTATCTCAAAAGTCATTCAAGATTTTTTTTTTATCTCAGTCATCTGCATTATTTTATGTGGAAATGCTTTTACCTGCATTTGGCTGAAGAGTGGGGAGATGCACACAGTGATATTATCCTACAACACACACTGGTTTGTTTCTTCGTCGTAATAGAATAATGAGAAACTCACTCAACAAAGAAAGATGGTGTTAAAACACAGTAAGAGTCTATATTTATATCTTTTTTTTTAAAGGTTTTTAAACTTCTTGCGAGAACTTATGCAGATTCCCACCGAACAATGTCCAAGGCAACATGCCACCCTGGAAGCCAGAAAGGGGTCGTTAATGGAGCACAGTGGTCTAGTATTACAGGCGGTGAGTAGAAAAACATTCCTGACTCAAGCTAAGGCCAATTTCTTTGATCTGTAATTGTAGTTTTAACTATGGCCTGTAGAGGTCACTCTCAGACCATTTGTAAGGAAGGATTCTGTGACTCAATTCTTTATAGAATATGCTAAAAATAGTTTGTTTAATGTCTCTGGTCAGGTATGCAAGATTTCAACTATCTTCACACCAACTGTTTTGAGGTGACTGTGAATGTTGGATGTGAGAAATTTCCTCCCGAGGAGGAACTTTTCCTCAGCTGGCAGGATAACCAGAAAGCATTGATCGCCTTCATTGAAGCAGTGAGATATTTTTTCTGTTACTTAATATTTGGGTAGAAAAATATGTCCTGAACCTATATGGAGCATGGGTATTTTTGATAGTGAAATATCTTGTATATGAATTCTTATTTTTATAAAAATAAAAAAAGCAACAAATGAAGGAGAAAGCATTGATTGTGATGTTGTTGATCAGGCTCACCGAGGGATCAAAGGATTTGTGAAAGATGAGGATGGAAATGGAATTAAAGGTGCAAGAGTATCAGTCAGAGGAATACGACATGACGTAACCACAGGTAAATACAACTACAAAAATACAGTGTGAAGTGGACCAGCAGGAGGTATATTCATATACGGAATTGGACTTTTACATTTCTTTTACATTGTTACCAACAATTTAAATTTATTTAATTGGTTGGTATATTATGTGTTGGAATATTTTATGTTGGCATAATATTCCAACATGGTGGCAACCAGCACAAGGCAGTACTTAACTGTTGTCATAGCTGTTAAGTCTCCCTTTTAGGACAGATGTTCTGTATCAAAAAACATATATGATCTGAATCTCCAAACACTGTTGCTAGCATCACAATCCAAACTCTAAACACCTTACTGTAGTTTGTAATTGGTTGACACGTGTTGCTTTTTTTTTTTGTAGATTTTTTTGTCCATGTCTTAAAATATAACAACCCAGTCTCATGGGAAAATGTACGGTTGAATATAATGGACACTTGAGCTTGACTTAGGTATTCAGACAGCTTGCATTGAATGTTGTAAAAATTTCCAATATTTTCAAATCCAAAACTTAACAGGCATGTGAAGTTTATTCTGAACCTTTGATAACTATGGTAAAACATGGTGGCAACAGCATCATCCTGTGGGGGTACTTTCCAGCACAAACAGGACATAATAAAGAAAAACTTAAAACAAAGTACTTAGGCCAATCTTTTTTATTATTTCTGTGTTCTAAAAAAAACAAACATTACATTTTCTCCCATTCATGTGTCTTCTGGGTTCCCTGTTCACCATGATGCTATTTCTTGAATCTCATAAACCTCAAAGGTGGGATCTGTTTATTATTGGACGCTAAATGCAGATGTGTGTCATATTTTTACATTTTCATTTATAAAAAAAAATTGTTAAGAATGTATTTTATCTTAACTGTACAATCATGCACTTTCTTTTGGTCTATACTAGAAGATCAGAACCAAAATATTATAATTCTTGTTTTGAAACATGGAATAATATCCTTGAATGTTTTTTAAGATCTAGAACCAAAATCATATTTCTTTGTTTATTTCTAATAAAGGGTCATTCACAATTTTCCAAATTTAACAAGTTTACAAAACATACTTTTATTGGAACCCCTTCCTAAAAGACTATCTGTTTGCAAGGACTACGAACCTATGGCCATAATACGGCTATTTTATGGTAAGACATTTGTTGCAGAATACTAACTTAAAAACTTTATATTGTAAAACTTGCTCAAAATAAATAATAAACTAAAACAACTAAATAAAGACGAATTTAAATTCACAAATGATAAAATTAGCAGAAAACTTTCCAAGTAGAAATTGTACATCAGCCTTACACTCCCTCCAACCAGTGTATGTTTTGAACAATTGTGAAATGATAAAAATTTTGCACACAACCACTAAGTTGACATTTTCTTGTGATTAAAGTGCTTACTCACTTTTATTTAAGTGTACATTTAGTAATTAAATATGTAAATATTTAGATTGCGCAACAATACTCCTCTAAATTCTTCTTGACTCTTTTCCAACTCTTCTCTCCTCTCCTCGCTCTGTGTCAGATTATTGTTCCTTATGTCCCTAACAGAGCACTTCACTCTCAATCTGGAGGTTTACTAGTGGTTCTTAGAATTTCTAAAAATAGAATGGGAGGCAGATCTTTCAGTTATCAGGCTCCTCTCCAGTGGAACCAACTACCGGTTTTATTCCATGAGGCAGACACCCTGTCTACTTTTAAGGCTAGGCTTAAAACTTTCCTTTTTGATAAAGCTTATAGTTATAATGGCTCAGGTTATCCTGAGCTATCTCTAATGTTCCTATAGGCTTAGACTGCTGGAGGACATAGGGACCCGTTTTTCATCATTCTGCTTCATTCTGTCTCTATTCTCTCACTCTGCAGAATCTGTTAGTTCAATCTCTAACATTAAGCTCTCTCTGCTTTTTCTCATAGTAGCTTCATCTGGTCTGTTCCTGTTTGGCTGTTACATCATCCTGTAGAGAAATATTAACTGTGCTGCTGCCATCAACACCTTTGTTTATAGATGCTGAAGATTGGCCTGTTTTTCAGTGTAGTCCTGTTTCTCCTAACTGACTGGCTGGATGTGCTCTCTTCATCCTCTGACATGGGAGCTGGCTCGGAGCTGGTCTGCCTGGCTGTGTGTTTCCTGGATAGCGCCGCCTTTTACAATTGCCTTTTGTATCTCTGCTTCTTTCTGTATGTCTGCTTCTGTCTCCTGCTTCTGTCTCGCTGGTGGTTTCTTCCTGTGAAAAGGGAGTTTTTCCTCTCCACTTTCGCTACAAGCATGCTTAGTGTGAGGGATTGCCTTAGAGTCAATCAGTCAATTAGCCTGATAAACCAGACTAAATGTGAGATTGAATGTGTAATTTAGTCTTGCCCCGATCAAAGAGACATCGGAAGATTGTTGATGAGAACAACCCGTTGTCTTTCAAACCATGTTTGTGCCTATGGGCCAAGACTGTGACCAATGAGCGCAACTGACTGTGACATAGTAAGCCAGACAGAAAGCTGGTGGGGGAGTGTGAACAAACAGCCTGTCGGTAAAACGGCGAATATGTCCTTCTGAAAAATGAATGAGCGTAGAGCCTCTTCCTGCTCACGTTTCAACGAAAACCCCAAGTCTAATCCCTCCAAAACTGATTCCAAAGCTGAGTCAAAAAATTGACATCAGAGCCAGCGGTCCTTCACACACGACTAAGCTGAGAGAGGCCCGCTGCAGACGGGCTGCGGTTAGCCCTGGCTGCTGTTGGCCTGGGACGTCCGCTGGTTGCTGCGGTGCTCTCAACTTCGGAAATAGTTTTAATTACACATTAAATCGGTAAATGGACCATATAGTGACGCTTTAAAGTATAATATTCTTACCTCAAGTGATCTTAAAACGTACTTTTATTGAACAACACCAACAGAAAGAGAAGAGAACTTTAAATGGAGCGCTTCGTTGAAGCTTCGTTGAAGCTTCGTTGAAGCTGCTGCCGCCGCAGAGCATGCTGCTGTTCAATAGTTGTTGCCATCGTCCCTGTTGTGCTTACACCAGCGTTGTGCAGCTTTGTCGTCACCACCTCAAAACCCTGCACGCTTTGCATCCAGAAATTCAAAACACATCTCTGCGTTGTGATTGGCCCGCCAGATTTAGGGCCAGGGGCATTGATCGGGGCTAGGCCAAACTTGCAGGCAAAAATTATTTTGGCCGCTGGTGGGTGGGTCTACTTTACTAGGCTATCAGTCGATACAATCAACTGGTTTTCCTTACATAGAAAACTTTGAATTAATTTTAATGTATGATCTGGTGAACTGTAAAGTGCCCTCAGATGACATGTGTTGTGAATTGGCGCTGTATAAATAAACTAAATTGAATTGAAATTGAATTTAATTGAATTAAGTGTAGAGATCTTTTTATAATTGTTTTGCATTCCTTTTTTAGTAAGACTTTATATATTAAGCTCTAAACATTATGATGCCCGCTGTGCTTGTTTCCCTGTTCAGCTGAAAATGGAGAGTACTGGCGTCTTCTCACTCCAGGAATCCACATAGTCACTGCCTCTGCATCTGGGTACACCAGAGTCACAAAAAGGGTCCAACTGCCCGCTGTCATGCAGACTGCAGGCCGAGTGGACTTTCTGCTGCAGAAAGCTTCTCAAGACTCTGACCTGCAAGAGGGTGAAAGCATCGGGTTGTCCATGAGCACCTATGAGCAGTTTGACCCATACAACCAGTACACTCATTACACCAAGATGGCTGATGTTGACCAGCAGCATGAGGAGAGAGTGGAGAAACCCTGGTGGTGGAGCTACTTTGTCTCACTTGGGGGCCCTGCCCCAACATGGCTGCTGAAGCACTATTAGAGCTTTAAAATGAGAAAAACAATGCATTGAATTTTATTTAATAGAGTAATGCATGCCTGCAAGTGTACATTATTAGTCTCATTGTAGTTGTTTGAATATTTATCCAAGTGCCTTTTATTTTCAAGCTTGTGCTTCATAAATAAAATTGCTTTGGGTTATTTGTATCATTTAGCTAATGATTTGAAACTTTTCTAAAGTATTTTGAGTCTGAAACACACCCTAAACACACTATCCCTATGATGACACATGGTGCTGGCAGCATATTGCTGTGGGGTAATTTTAAGCAACTACAAGGAAGATGGTCAGAGTTATTTCAACCTCAGCGGGACAAGAGTCATAAACAGAAAGCCAGAATTACAATTAAATCTTAAATACACATAGGGTTTCATTCCACAGTGACTAGTTTTTTTGTGGACAGACACTGGACAGTCTAGAACATAGCTTTTAACAACCTTGTATATTGACCAGAAATGTCATCTAAGGAGTGTGGGAGTTCAGTTGATTCCAGGATGGCAGGAGAATTTTGCTGTGACCTAATGGAAGAAGGAACATAAACCCAATTCTGAGGTCCAGTACCAGGGTCTGGTTGGAACATTTGAGCTCCAGGACTTGATCCCTAATTTCCCATGATAAGGCCCCCACAATGCAGGAAGGTTGAATTACGGTTGAGATATTCGCTTCCAGGTCACTGGAGTATTGCCTAGACAGGGCATCCAGTTTGGAGTTTTTAGTGTCTAGAAGGTAAGAGATGACAAAGTTAAAATGGGAAAAGACGAGAGACCATCATGATTGTCTAGGTCTCAAAGGTTATTCTTCCTGGAGATGGGCCACATTATTTGGTCTGTCCACACAATAACAGGATGTTCAGCTGCCTCCAACCAATGGTGTCTATGTTCAAAAGCCATTTTAATGGCTAAGAGCTCTCTATCCCCACATTGTAGTTTTGTTCTGTTTGAGATAAACTGTGGGAAAGAAACATGGAGGGTCAGCCTAAATCAGACGCATCAACTTCAAGGACAGACTGTTTCTATGGATTTTGGATTAATCAGAATTGGGATAATGGCAAACCTTTTCTTGAGCTCTGAAAAAAACCCTTCACTTCTTCAGGTGACCAAATGAATGCTCACCCGACCCCAGAAAAGCTGACAGCTGGAGACATGGAGTCTAAGTGAGCCAGATTCTTGCCTCCATTGTCTACATGGCCGCCCATGCAGTAGTGGCCATAAGGTCTGCACTGCCTGTCGTGGTGGCAATCGCCAACATGGTGGTGGGCACTGGCAGTAAGGGATGCCCAAAGATGAAGAAGGAGTCCTATCGTGCCTGGCTGGCTTGTGAGACTCCTGAGGCAGCAAATCAGTATAGTAAAGCCAAATGTAGCGCTGCCTGGGTGGTTGCAGAGACTAAAGCTCAGGTCTGGGAGGAGTTTGGAGAGGCCATGGAGAAAGACTAAAGGTTGGCCTTAAGTGATTCTGGCAAACTGTGAGGCGCCTTCGAAGTAAAAAGCAGTGCTTCATGAACAGTACTTTTCTCCTTTTTAAACATTGAAGCACTACAGTGGAATTGCTGAGGATATTGTCAGTCCCATTTGTACCAATTACTATCTTTATGAGATTCTAAAGTCAGAAAATGAATATTGATTTCCTGCCTATGAAAAAGGAGTCCATATGCCATTAAAAGAAAAAAAAAGAAGAGATTTATTTTTCTCTTATTATCCGAAATCAAATAAGCAAGAGGTAGAAACTGTTGCATAGACAAAAAAAACTTCATTTTTTAGATAGTTACATTTTAAATTTAATTAGTATAATGACATAAAAGAAAGCATCTTTAAGATGATTTATTTTTACTTATAAACACAGTGTAGAATAAGGTGTAAAACAAAGGTTACATCCATAAGCAAAAGAGAAAACTATTTTGTCATAATCATAAGAAATTAATCTACTGTATCTAGAGTTGTAAATTATGACGTTTTATCTATTCATATTAATAAATTCAAACCAGCTCTACTTCTTACTTGGTACCCACAGCATAGCTTTTTTGATTTTTTATTTTTTTTTTTGTACTATCCTTAGCAAGTAATAATATTTGGCCCTTTAAAATTGCCATGACTACAAAGAGCTTTTAATTTCCAAAATTACTTCATGTTTGGCAGATTTAGTTTCATAAGTGTACACTAGGGAACAGCTCCTCAAGAGGGTGATAATAAGGCCCTTCCTTTTTTTTACAGAGCCTGAACAAACTTGCCAGGGAGCTCATGAGGCGAAGATAATCAGACCAGTCGAATATAAGTGTGTACAGAATCCCACAATTCATTTTTTCAGAGAACCCCTCTGCTTTGACGACTGCGAGCCCACTGGGTTTTAGGCGATTCCAATTTAATAGTGGCAGGATATTTAACCACAACATTAAGGACTACAAAGGGAAAAGGCTAAATGTATCTAAGAGAAATAAATCCAATAGCACAAAATATTACAACAGAAGAGTAAAAATAGAAACTGAAACAGAAACTAAACACAAAAGTATGAACTAATGGGGGGACTAAAATTAATGTAAACAACATGGAAATACTGAAAACAGAGAAATAAAGTCAAGACTCAAACGGCAGGATATTGTGACATTTATTTTTGACATTTGTTTCCTTTATTTAAAGAAAAGGTTAGCTACAAATTGATCCGAAAGTGTTTCATTGTACAAAGGTTTCAGTCAATTAACACCAATAATCTAAAAAGTAATGCAACAGTAGAGAGATTCCAAAACTAAAAGAATACTCCACAACTGTTGAGATTACTAACACAGGTCAAGTAAGATGAAGCAACTTTGAAGGAGCTGTAAGAATTTCAAAGAAATGTATTGACTTGTAAAATACATTGACTGTGTACAGTATGTCAAAAAAGTTTATGGCAGAGTTGTTTTTCCTCTGAAGAAAAGATCCAGGCCTGGGTATGATGTCCAAAAAATGCTTGAAAGACTACTAAAGAAACCACACTTTAGAAATTCAAAATGGTACCTTTATTGGTCAGTGTGAGAAACAAATAACTCCAAATTCCAGTTTCCTTTTGCCAGGAACTGTGTTTAAAACATGCTGGACATAATGCATGGACTTCTGTTTCAACTCAATGGAAGTTTACAAAGGAATATTTCTTTGTGTATGAGCACGTGTTTAACAGCTATTTGTTTTCATTTTTGCTTCTTTGAAAAACAAATAACAATAGACGTGTTTTCCGAATTCCTTTATGGTTACAAATTAATCTTGTTGGCTAATGTTTGTATACTTAAAGTCAGATCTCATCTGCTTTAAAAAAAAAAAAAAACCTCCCTTGTGAGCTATTCTCAGCAACACACAGTCTAGACACAGCCAAATTCAGGGCCAGAATAAAACATAAAGCACTATTGAAATAAGTGTTCCTGATCTTAATGCATATTATTGCCATGTCCCAGGGATAAAACACTTTAGAAGTCAGTCATGAAGAAGAAAAAGCCTCAGGGCTCTTAAGGCCGGGTACATGTTCGTGATGCGCCCAGCTACTTTAGCTGTCATGCAGCAATATATCTCAGAGCCTTTGCTGGGTGCACTGATGCTTGGCTTAAGCCATTTAGCAGCGCCCTGGTTAACTGAAACCGACAAAACTTCTGATTCCAGCCTGATCTTGGAATAACACCCCTGGCGGTTGTGAAGCTGTCTTTGCCCATTTCATCTGGCAAGCTCCCACAAGTGCATTTAAAGCTGACACAAATGCAGAAGAAGATACTTCATGACATTACCACTGCTAGCCTGACTGTTCTAAAAATGGCAGTCTCATGGCAAAAAACAAAACAAAACATAAACCACTTTAGCCTTTTCGTTTGTAGAATAAATGGCTATTATTAAGGGGTATAGAGAAAGTTTAAATGTGTAAGTAAAATATGATGACATTTGGTAATCTAAAGCCAAAGAGTATTCCACAAGGGCAAAGCCTTGGATGATTTCACTCTAGCATTTGCCTGGAACCATAGAGAACAACAACACTTGGTGATGAGATGATTACAGCTGAGTAGAAATCATTGGTGGCTGCTGCTCTCTGAAACAGGGGAGGCTCAACTGTGTTAATTAAATCCAAACACCATGTATTCCATTAAGAAATGTTGAAACACATAAAAAAAAACTGATAAAACACACAAAACAGCTCTTGTGAAGCGAAAAAAATATAATGAAAAATATAATGAAATAACTCAAGAAACAGCAAGGGTTTAGCGCAAGACAAACCTCCGCACTGTCTGCCCACTGTCAGTCAAAAAAGTATTTCTTGCCAATCAGCATCAAGAAGATATATCCATAGACCTTCTAAAATCTTTAGCCTCACTAGAAGTGACGTATTTTCATCTGTTATTCAATCAGGGCACTATTTTCTATCTGCTTACCTCAATAGGCTTAGGCTCAAACTTCAACAGGGATTTCTCATAGAGACTGACCGGCAGGGCTTGTTGCTCCAGAGCAGAGGGGAGATTTCCTCCGTCCAAGAGTGTGCTTATCCTCTGAGTAATGCACAACATTCTCATGAAATTAGGCCAATTTTAGTGCATATTCAATAAAGTTTAATGACTACATTTATGAAGTTTGACAATGCATAATTTACCCATAATTGTACAAAATTTACAATGAGGTTTGGCCTCAATGAGGTCACCACTGGTAGAAATAGTCCAATGAGGTATGATAAAAGTTAAATTCACTTTAGATAGTCTATAATGAAGTGTGACACCACGATAGTTAACACCTCCATTACATTGTTGTTTATCTAACCTTTATTTGATGGTGTAATAGAAAGTAGTGTTGGTTGTTTAAACAAAAAAATGTATCTGCGTTAACAACCTGAATTGAATTACTTTTATTTGATGAATTGGTATTTTCTCAGGTTGGTTCAGTGGTCAGGAGGGAAAATTTCACATTCTGTGACTCATAAAACATCATCTGTCATGTCAACCTAAAAAAAAAAGGGGGGCCCAGCAAGAAGTTTGTGAACCAATGGTTTAATGTGTCAGCCAAGGAGCCAAATAGCCACTTTCATCTTTCGAGACAAGGGGTTGTAGACCCCTTGTCTAGCTGTTATCATATCTCAGTATTAGAGAAGCTAAAGGGGCATCAATC